ATTTAGCCTCCAGAGCACATTTCTGAAACCCAGAGGGTTTTCCCCCTGTATTTTGAGGGTAAGGGAGAAAGAATGTGTTTTTGGTAGTAGGAAACTATTTAAAAATTGGTGCTTGTTTGCAAACAGTTCTGTATTACAACTAATGGAAAAATGGCCTAGTAACATTTCCTGGGTAAAAGTCAACCCTTGAGGAGCTGAAACTATTACAAGGAGGAAAACAGCTCTGTTAATTATCTTGTAAAAAAGAATGCTCTTTCCACGCTCTGGAATTTCCTTTTGTGCAATGATTTCTTTTAACCTTAACTTTTTTTGCAATACTAGATTTTAGAGACTGAATGCTCAGAGTTCACCCTTCCTTTTGCAATATTAAAAAAAATTGTAACAGTTCATTTTTGGCATTCAGATATATTTTCTATATTTTTACTGCTTATTCATTGGATGGGTTTACTCAGAACTTGTTTTCTGCATTCTTTCTTGTTTTAAAAATGTAATGAAAGTGAAACTTTTAAATTATCAATATGTTTTATAAAATTTACATACAATAAAATTGACCTTTAGGGGACATACTGTTCTGTGAGTTTTAATATACGTATAAACCCCTGTAACTACCCCCACAATCAGGATACAGAATGGTTCTATCATCCCCCCAATTCCCTCATGTATCCCTTGCCCAACCTAATCCTTAACAGCTTCTGATGCACTCTCTGTCCCTGTAGTATTTGGCCTATTCCCAAATGTCATAGAAATGCCTTCTCTCCACATCATGCCTTTGAGATACATCCAAGTGGTTGCACGTACCGGTGGCTTGTCCCCATCTGCTACACTGTCTTTCTCCATTTATACCCTGAAGAACGTTAAGGTTGTTTCCAGTTTGGGGGGGTGTAGGCACAAAGCTAATAATGAACATTTGTGTGCATTTATTTGTTTGCACATGAAGTTTTCATTTTGTTAGATAAGTCTGTAGAAATGGGATTACTGTGTCATATGCTAAGTTTGTGTTTAAGAAACTTCCAAACTATTCATCAGAATCGTAGCATTTTGCATACTTACCAGCAACATGTAAACTTTTAAGAACTAGAATGTTATTTAAGATACTCTTAGATTCAGCTTTGAGGAGATGCCCGTGACAAAGGGAGGACTTTGAGGTCCTCCACCACAGCTTCAAAGAGAACCGGTCCAGTTTGGTCCACTGTGTATATTAGAGTTCTGTGTAAGAATCCATTTGGGGAGAAAAGAGGGTTTCTCTGCAAAAACCTTTGCAGCAGGGCAGAGCATTCATAGTGGAGGATGCGGACCATGGGTGTTACCCAGGGTGGTGTTGGGTGGTGCTTGGGGACTCTGCACATATGAGGACCATGGTGTGAGAAATGCTTCCCTCTTCAGCTCCATTTCAAATGATTGTCAAGGAAGTCTTCATTTAAATCTCACGTGCCTTTCGCGTTCTCCAACACGTGGTAATATCCTTTTACAAAGAGGAAGTGTGCTTGAGTGTCAGAGCCTTCAGCTACAATAATATCTACCTAGAAGGAAATAAAAATACAGTTTTGTTTCTGATGTATTTACTTTCATGATTAGCTTCTCATTTATGACAACCCTTGGTTTTTACATTTTTCTTTTGAAGTGAATTTATTTTATATTTTAAAAAACAGGTCCATTGGAAGGAATATATTAAACACTATGTGATGTCGCTTATACACAAATATGGCAAAATTATAAGGACGTGCTAGAATGAAGTTTGGGAGACTCTGATCCAGGGTATCTGGTTATTTAAGAGACTTTAAAGTGAATTACTGTTATTATTATTATGACGTTTCTGTGTGAAAAGCTGCTTAGTAAAGAGCATAACTATCTCTTAGTTTATCTCTTTTATAAGTTTATTATTTATGTAATAATATTTCTTAAAAGAAAAACAAAAACCATTGCCCTTTGTTTTTGTAGTACTTTCACGTTTCTTCTTTATTTGCTCATTTGGCAAATATTTATTCAAAGCTATTAGGTGGGCAATGGGGATACAGTATTGAGCTAATCAGGCAACATCCCCCCCTTCCCTTGGGAAATTTACTGTCTTGAATCTTTCTTCTTTCCCCTCAGAGAGGCTGTTCGGGGCCCAACAAAAACAAGGAGCCTTGAATAAAATGTAAATGATGTGGAAGGCAAGGAAGAGTTAAATGACTTCCTAAAAACATCTGTTTTAATAGATTCAAAGGGGGCAATAATTTTATTTTCATCATATTTTTAGCACTATCTAGATATACACTTTCTCTTCTGTGTGGTTTATTTTTGCATTTTGGTAAAATAATGTGTATCCACAAACATGGCCATCAACTGTGCGACTTTTTCATGCTCTTCCAACTTCAGGTACATGAGACAGGGCATCCCCGGCAAGGAGCAGCACCGTTGTTAGGACACCCAGTGAGGCTCAGACCTCTCGGAAATTCGACGTCATTTCATTTAGAGGCCATGAACTGGCAGAACAGCGAGTTCTGTTCAGCCCATTGGTGTTTCTTACTTGGCCCATATGCTATTTTTAAAATTTTAAAAATGAGTTTCTAACTTGTACAAACTCAGGAGTTTTCACAAGAGCAGATCTTTTTGTCCATTTGAAAAGTCATGAATTGCACTGTTGAGCCAGCTTTTCTGAATGGCCCAGCCGGCTGGAGCCGAGTCAGGCTGCCTCTTCTGATCCAGCGTGCACTCTTTCTGGGTAACCTCTGCTTAACTCCTTCATGCTATTTGCCTGGCCCTAGTGAGTATTTGAATTTATAACCTCTGGGCCCTGAATTCCATGCATTAGAATCTGCTAGGGAAGCTGAATGTTCCTTCCTGTGCCGGAGGTCTGAGAATGTTGGTACCAGGGGAAGCTGATTGAGTGTCCAATTGAATCCGTCTCCTAGCAGAATGGATGTGGCACCGGACCTAGCTAGTGCCTGGCTAGTGCTCATCAGCTTACTTTGATTCCTTCATAATGGACATACTGTTTTCCACCTTATATGCTTATATCAGTTAAGGGTTTTTTTAATTGTTGTTTGAAACAGAGTCTCATTCCATTGCTGTAAGTAGACTGCTGTGGCGTCACAGTTCACAGCAACTTCATACTGTCAGCCTAGGGTGATCCTCTTGCCTCAGCCTCCCAAGTAGCTAGGATTGTAGGTGTCTACCACAACCTGCAGCTAGTTTTTCTATTTTAGTAGAGATGGGGTCTCGCTCTTGTTCAGGCTGGTCTTGAACTCCTGACCTCAAGCAATCCACCTGCCGAACCCTCCCAGAGTGCTGGAATTACAGGCATGATTTATCGCACCCAGCCCAGTTAGGGTTTTTGATAAGCAGCAGAAAACAGATTCTTTTTTTTTTTTTTTTTTTGAGACGGAGTCTCAAGCTGTCCCCCTGGGTGGAGTGCCGTGGCATCACACTCACAGCAACCTCCAACTCCTGGGCTCAAGCGAGTCTCCTGCCTCAGCCTCCCAAGTAGCTGGGACTACAGGCGCCCGCCACAACGCCCGGCCATTTTTTGGTTGTAGCCATCGTTGTTTGGCGGGCCCGGGCTGGGGATTCGAACCCGCCACCTTAGGTGTATGTGGCTGGTGCCTTAGCCGCTTGAGCCACAGGCGCCGAGCCCAGAAAACAGATTCTAATGAATTTTTTTTTTGCAGGTTTTTTCCTTTGTTTTGGCTAAGGCTGGGTTTGAACCCACCACCTCCAGTATATGGAGCCTGTGCCCTACTCCTTTGAGCCACAGGCGCCACCCAGATTCTAATGAATTTAAGCAAAGTGAGTCTTTATTGAAGAGATATTAGATAACTGAAACTATGAATAGAAAAGAGAATGAGCTGACCTCAGAAAGTTCAGGAAACTAGGGATGGGGGAAGACCTGAGGAAATTGATAAATTGCCTATGAATCTTTTCCCCAAGATTTTTTTCTTTTAAGAGTCTCAAGTCCTAGAAAAGCGGATCAAGTTGGTCTGGCCCACATCCTTGATAGGGGAGGCAAGGCACCTTGGCTGACAGTTCCTCTAAGACTATATACGATAAAAAAGACTTCCCCAAGAAGGCATCTGAGGGTGGCTGCCAGACAAAGGCGGATGGGGGACGGATGGAGGCAACAAAAACCACAAATGTTCACTGCACCTCTGTTCAAGGTTGTCAGGAAGATACTGAATAAGCACTGTGAGATGCTCCAGAGGATTAAGGAAGTAGTATTTCAAGTTAAAGGACAGTCGTATCAGGAGTATACGCTTTAAGTAAACAAATGTATTGGCACCCGTTAGTTAAGGAATATAGGGAGTGGCTAAAACACAGACAGTGACAATTTCATCCCTTTTAGCAATCGCCTTGGTTATAAAATCTCCAAAGACACTATACTAACTTTAAATGAAAAACAACATTCATAAACCCTAAAGATTTTCACTGAGATATTCATTTGTAGAAATACTCTTTCTGATCTTTGTACTTGTTGTTTTCTTCATTGTAAGATCTTGATTTGCAGCAAGCAAGGAAAATGAGTAAATCTTCTTGACCTCCCCCCCGTTAAAAAACCGCCAGCACGAGAAGAAATTGAAAGTAATGATTCAAAGAAGAGAGGCAGTGCGGAAAGCCTCAGCTGGGTGGCAGGAAACAGCCAAAGCCAGAGACTACTTTTTTATAAAAAGGCAAAACAACGCACAGTGAGGTGTACATGACAATCATGTCTAATAATAGCTCCTGGTAGGCAGCGCTCAGGAAAAAAAATTGTTGGTGTGCTGAGAAAATTAGAGTAAGAATGCACAGTACCCTGATGTGTTACTTAAGGCACTGGAGCTTTAGAGTTTACCCTGCGTGCCATGTACATTGATTAAACACAAAATATATGCGGGCCGTTTTTGACCATCATTTACTGTATTGATTTGTTAGCAGGGGAACTGTAATAAAAAGCCATTGATTTGCTGTCCTTATTTGCTTATGGGCTTTTTTTTATTATTAATTTTTCACTTTTTCTTTCTCTTTTTTGGGATCATTTCTTGTAGACAAATGCTGTGCTTCATGAAGTTAAACGAGAGGGGCTCCCCGTGGAACAAAGGAATGAAATCTTGACCGCCGTCCTTCCCTTGCTCACCACACGCCAGAACCTGAGGAGGGAATGGCACGCCAGGTCAGTCCTGCGGGCGGTGGGGTCCGTTGACCCTGACAAACAAGAGCTCCATCTGGCTACACCCTTCCCCAGGGCTAGTCTCATCCCTCCTGTTCGAGGGGCCGTGAAAAGAAGCCACTTTGAGGTGCTTTCGGCTAAAGTGAGCTCTCCTGCCTAGTTAGTACCTACATTAATTGTGACGACCCAGGGCATCATCTGTATGTTTCTATGATTTATTCCAGAGTGTAACATTTAGCATAAGTGTCTGCATCTCGAGCCTAATGTACTATAAGCGTCTGATGCTGAATAACCCTTTTTAATCAACAGTCAAAAGGACTGGTATTGCTATTTAGTTAGGGCAGGTGTCTGGGAAATCTACACCGTGCTCCATGTCGTCCAGTGCTGGGCAGAGCACTCAGTAGGACAGCCGTATGTCACTCAACAATGGGGTATATTCTGAGAAATGCGTCATGAGGCCATTTTGTTGTGGCCTGAAAGTCCTAGAATGTACTTACACCAACATAGCTGGTGTAGCCTACCATACCTAGATGGTGTGGATCGCTGCACACCTACATGGGGTGGCCCACTGCACACTCAGAAGGGGGAGCCCACCACACACCCAAATGGTCATATACCTAATGGTGCAGCCCGCTAATGGTGCAGCCCGCCACACACCCAGCCTGTCTGGTACAGCCTGTTGTCCCTGCTGTGTGTGCAGCGTGTTACTGTATCACTGTACTGAATGCTAAAGCATTCAGTTGTAACACAATGTCAAGTGTTTGTGTATCAGAATGTATCCAAACATAGATTACCGTAAGTACAGTGAGAATACGGTATTATGATCTCACGGGATAGGACTGCTGCCGTGTATGTGATCCACCATTGACTGAAACCTTGTTTTGTGGCACATGCCTGTAGTTTATTCATCAACTAAGTAGGAATTACTTTTGCTTCCGCGTACTTCCTTTCCACGTGGAGTTACCTATGGTTAAAAAGCTGTTGGGTGGAAAGTTTCTATGAATCGTTAGCTTTTATAGAATTGGTGCTTATAGAATAAACATCATGTTATCCTCTTCTCTTCTGAAAAACAAGTGATACATGGAATACGTTATCCTTTAGAGCTGTAGTTTGTAAAACTTTTTGAAGTATTATCTGTGTCTGAAGAAGAGGGAGAAGAATTGGGAAGACTATGTTATATTTTGCTTCAGAATCTTATTTAAGGCTTAAACATTCCATGTGCTTAGAAGTTGAGAACATTTATTGATAGCCATAATATTCTCCAAATGACTTCATCTGGCAGAATTTACAATAATTGATAGCTTTACTAGGAATAATTATCATAAAAATAGATTTGTCTGAATAAGACTGAAGGTGAGCATTTTCCAAGAAAGGAGACAGAATGAAGTATTGATTCTCGTTAGATGTCAGAAAGCTGCTTTTTCAAATATGTGTATTATCTCCAAATTCAAACTTGCATTTAAATAATAGTTTTAAAATTCTCAGTGATAGCCACTACCCCTTTGATAGTGTGCTCAGAGTAAATGGCAGACAGTTTTAACTATTCTAAGGACTAAAGGATTTCCAACTTAATTTTCAATACTTTTAAAAAATTATCTTTGTCTTATAACTTTAAGTGTGTGTACAACATTAAAGTTTGCATATTTTATTAAATAATAGATTATCATTGTGGGGACACCTAAGAGGATTCTTCTTTTCTGTTTGATATTTTATTTCTTCCCTATGATTATTTTTATTAAATAGGAAAAGGAGGAAAAAGGAATTCCCCTGCAGTCTCTCCTCCAGCCCCTTCCCTCCAAAGACAGAGAAAGCACAAAGGTTGAGAGTGGATGTCTTTTGTTGAGAGCGTTTGGTTTGTTAACAATAATTTCCTAATATACCAAATCATCAGACAACGTGGCCAGAATGGCCTGTTTAAAAGGAGTCTGGTTTCAGCCTTTCTGGCCCTTCCTGCTAACAGTTTAATCAGCAGCTGGAGCCAGTGTTGAAGTTGATGTAGTCTAGCATCTGAAGCAAGAATTCGCAAGTCCTTTGTGTTAGGGGCGGAGGAAAGAGAGAGCTTAGCAGCTGACACTGCACAGACCCCCTTACAACTAAACACCTGAAAGAGAATTTCAAGAGGCTGGTGTCTTGCGAGCTCAGAAGGAAAAGTGTCCTCAGAGTATTAAATAACCATAATCCTCCTCCCCACCCCTTCTCCACTCCCATTTGATGTCTCCCGTCCTGGTGACCTATCTAAAAGGCCCTTCCACATGATCCGTATAAACAGACGGTTACCATGCACCTTTCTTTTCCTCATCAAAGCGTCATCTGGCCTTCTGGAGTCAGGCATTGCCTCGAGTAGCCATCCAGCATGTGGTGGTGAAAGTTATAAAACATCCACCGTGGTGCGCACCGGCCTGCCCGTGTGTGAGAGATTGGCCTATTGTGTACTTAGGAATTACACGAGGAGAAATGTGCTTTGACAGAAAATAATTAGCACTCACCAAAGGCCAAGCGGTAGGTTACAGTATTTTACTTTTATCAAAGCTATCAGGGGATCAGTTAGATTAGATAATAGAAATTTTTTCCTCTGAAAGTTAAATACAGATGACTCTAATTACCTTATATTGCACGTTGGAGAATGCATTATGAATTGTACAACTTCGAGAAGTTTAGGTCAACCGAGACCACAGCTGGCAGTAACTTTCGTATAAGTCTGTCGTAATAAAGGCTTTCTGCCCCACCCCCAGCAGGTTCGTTTGGGATCATATTAGGGAGAATATTTTAAGTGGAACTTGTAATTTGGTTATAAAATACTCGTATCTCTCTCAGGTCGAGAGCCAAGCCATTGTTTGGGGCTCACCGAAGTCTCTTAAACTGGAAGCATATGTTCCTTGTAATTCAGCTTTTTGAACAAAGTGTCAGCGCTGCATGACTTGGGGTAACCGAGTTTGTCACAGTGTCACACAACCCTGCGATTCTGGAGGCACATTTGAGTGCTGTGGGTTTTCTTCCCCAAGCTCAGTAATCCCATAAACAACCCTCTCCAAATAGGCTTATTAGGGCTGTCTGTTCACTTCCCCGGAGTTGAATGATCCACAGTACATGAGGAGGAGCTGTGTGAATGCAGGGTAAGTGTTAACAGAAGTGGGACAGAATTTCTGAAGATTTGGCTTTGTTTATACAGTCCGCTCTGCCTGATGGACAGCTTGTTATAGCTTTTAAAGAACTGGCCGAGCCCTCTGATCTGACCCCTTCTTGACCTCCGCAGCCCAAAGGTCAGTCTGCAGCTAATAAACCCTGAGGTTCTTAGGGTCTACTGTAGGAAAAGGCAGAAAAAGAGCAGCTGCCAGGATTGGGTGTCCCAGGATAGGCTGCTTTGGGGTCACTCTCTGATAATGAAAATGATTACCAAATTATATGGAAGTTTAACCGCAATAGTGAGTGAGAGGAGGGTGGAGCCCCGCGTATTAGGTTTGATAAATGAACTGTGAAGAGGCCCATCTGGCTCTCAACATCTTTCCCCCCCTCTTTCCCTACCAAGGGGAAACATTTTAAAATAACAGCAGTACATATAGACTCAATGACCCATGCAGGGAGCTGGAATGGATTAAGATTTAATGGTGACAGTGGAAGAGATTATCATTTGAAAAGTGCACCCAAGGAAAGGGACAGTTCAGTGTCTGTGCCCGAGTGGTTTTTCAAAATAAAACGTGATGAAAATCAGTGCCTTGTTTATTTTATACAAATCCTCGGTGCCTTTCTCAGATTGCTGAAAATTTGGGGGGGGTGTTGTTTACTATGGAATAATTAATCACAGGCAGCTTCACAAATGGAACGGGCTTCCTTTGCCTTGAACATATCAGAATGAGACGCGAACATTTTTTTCTGCCTGCTTGCTCAGCTTCAAGAATGTAGGTAAATCAAGGATTAGAGAAAATGCTTTACAAAAAAACTGGTGTCCGTTCTGGCATTGACCACTGATCGTTCAGGATTTTTTGATCCTTAACATATGCGTGAACAAGGTTGGACCATGTTCCGTTCTTACTATGACCTGGCAGCTCTTCTGTAAAAATAAGAAGAAAAACACATGATGTTAATTGGATAGTTTATGTTTGTTTCTTTCTTTATTCCTTTTTCAAAGAAGCAGCAGAGCTATGCTAATTAGTGCCAGTGACGGGCAGGCTACTGTAAGTCGCATGTCCCCTGCATGTCCCCAGTTTCTCATGGAGTATCTGGACTTCAGACCCGTGACAACAGAGACCACGAAGGTCTGTGATTTTCTGGACTGGCACATACCACGATTCTGTTTTCTGAAACAAGAGTGGTTTTACTCAGTAAGCATCTGTGTATTCCATATACCTGCTGCGTACAGAATATCACGTCAGATCCTGTTTGTATTGTACAGCAATGCTTAGCAGCTAATCTAAGGGTTCATCTGGGGCTGATATATGGTACAAAATTCCTAGAAAGAGCCTGTGGAAGGAAGGCAGTGAAAGGCAAGTTCATGGAGCCATCCTCGTCACAGTAGAGGGCAGGCTCTTCTATCCACTCTGCAAAGTACTTGATTACAGATGTCTTGTGAGACCAGAATTGGCGTAGTATTGAAACCCTCTTCTATCTAACCACATTTTCTACATAATCCAAGCCTCACCCAGACAATTATTATATGAAAAATGGAAACAAAAGGTTTCTAAACGTTACTCAAAGTTAGCCAATCTTTACTTGGAGGTTTTCCTCGACTGCGCGCCTCTGTGGGGATTCAGAGTGAGGCGTCAGTGAGGTAAAGGGTACTGCAGGGAGTTGAGGAACTCTTCAGAGTGAATGTGCTTTTTGACTTGAAAGCCTTGCTTCCAAATTTTTGCTAAGTAAAGGGTAAATGCAAAAAATAAGACAACGGCAAAGCCATTAGGATTTTTGAAACTTGAGATATAATTCAGATAACATGAAATTTCAAATAACATAAAATTCATCATTTTAAAGCATACAATTAAGTAATTTTTTTACTTTACACATACTAG